AATTTAATGCACCTATTCACCAAGATTTTGAACAACATCCAAGGCGGTTGTAATCAGTTCATTTTGCCAACATAGAGCCACACGAGATATAATTGATGGATATATTCTACAATCATGGTTGGTAGTCAAATCCCCTCTTTCCGTCTAGGATAGCTTGTCAGGATCACATTCTTATGATGCCTAGGATGTGAGACTAACATCATCAAGTTTGAACAGTGAACCAACGGGATGAGGTCACGTGATCAACGTCCGGAGAGCCTTAGTTCAAATTCTTTGCCTATAAATACTCGCACTTAATGACATTGTGAAAATAAGATAAGCTTGTAATTGTCACACTACCAATAAACCAAGATTACCTCTTTTCTTTTCCGTTCGTGTCATTTCCACACCAAATATGACTTGAATATCAGAGCGTGTATGGTTGTTGCCTCCCAAACTTTGTTTAGAAAGGCTCCTGTCTTACATCTCTAACGAGCGTGTCCATATGAGCAAAACATTACTCAACCTCCTATGAAAAGCTGCAGACACAGTATGCCTCATTTTTAGCATTATGAGTGGGCTTATCATTTCAGTGTCAAGCTTGTATCTGTTATTAGTCTTTAAACTTAGAATTTGTTATTTAGTCATGAGTCAGCCATCTCACTGGACTCATGGAGTATGGAGGTGGTGCTTACATATTATTATTATTATTATTATTATTATTATTAGTAAATACTTTCTATGAATATAAAATAATCACTGTCAACGACAATAATTTTTCTGAAGCCTTGTAATAGATTCACCGAAAAATTGAGATTCACTTTCACCTTTCGGAAATAAATTCCGGGTTTCAAAGAAAAGGTAAAATTAAATTTGGGAAGGCATCCTTTGAATGAAATAAATAAATTATACCTTAACTTCATACCAAATGTTTGATATGCATTATTGAGCATAACTAATCTACCTGACAAATAAACTTTTTATTAATTTTTTCTTCTTTAATAATGTCCAGCACTATCAAATTCTCTCTATTAAACGTCATAAATATGCAGCGTACACTCAACTTTAATGTGTTGACAGAACCAATAAGCGTAAGAACAAAACTAATCTGGGTCCTAAGTGGTTACAAACGCTGTGGAATAATATTCTTTTCCATAAAGATGTAACTGATGGATCCAATCTCTCGTCTATATAAATAGGGATAAATCCATAGGTGAAAATAGACGATAATCATCAAGTATATACGACAACATTCCATCACAGTTTGTCCTCGTAAACACCAATGCACTCGAGATCAGTTTAATACAAGGAAAATAAGCTACAAATATCATTTATGAATGCATTGAGCTCCACGGAAAACTGCAATGAACTGATAAAATTGACCTCAGTAAAGGTTATTATCAAACACCCAGGGCTCATGCACAAATAACTCACGACCATTCATTTGAACCAGCCCGGCAGCTATATCCTCTGCACGCTTCCTTGTTGCTTCATCCTTTTTTGCTGAAGCATCAGCGACCTGCTGATAAAACAATATATGTATATCAGAAGATTGACCAATAAAACAATTGAGAAAACAGAACATATAAAACATTAGAAAGTTCAGCAGTTTATGAAGAACTTCAGAAAAAACTGTGCTCCTAGACCTCCCAAGTGTTGGAATTAGTAAATTTAACACAGGAAGAACTCTATCTTCTACTGTTAATGAAGCACAAACAAAAGATTAATTAATGAGTAGAGGTACTCCGTGTGCTTCTCTAGGTATCATTACAATCAAATGTGTGATCCCCCAAATTAGACTTAGGTCAGTGCTCAATCCATAAAAGTTGCTTGATTCCCGCATTAGGAGCTGAAGTGGACTTACAATCCCCTCTTTCTACCTGGTTCAACATGTAAAGTCCTAATCATACTATCTTCGAGTCTAGGTGATGCAAAATTCAAGAGGAAGTATTAGAGGAAAGGAAGAAATAGAGAGAATAAGAGGCAAAAGAGAAGGAAGAGATAGAAAAGACAATTAGAGAATAGGTAAAATTGAGTAGAAGCAAAATCTGTAATTCATTACCAATAATCAATAATAATCTGAGTAAATTTCCCTTATAGAAGGGGAAGAGTTATAAGGGGAAGAGTTTAGAATATAAGGGAACATCTAATGCATCACAACTTCTCAAAATATCAAAATCTCAACTAGTCAAAACTACTGAAATGTAATATAAATCAAACTCTAATTTAAATTCCTATTTCACCTAAGCCACACCTCTATTTACTATCTGATGTAGGATGAATAAGAAAGAAAAAAGAAGAAACGGGGAGGAGAAACAGAGAGAAGGGAGAAGAAGAGAAGAAACCAGAGGAAGAAAGGAGAGGGAGAAAACGGCTGCAAGCCACCAAAAAATATTTCAATTCTAAATCATCATCAACTGAAAATTATAATGTAAAACAGGTTTAAATAGTTAAACAACCCTAACAAACTTGGGCCCGAGCCCATACAAGTCCAAATTTTAAGTAATAGTCCAAAAGATAAATAAAGCATAAATAAAATAAGTAAACGATGTCCTCATCAACTCTCCCGGGATAGGAGAAAAACTCGACCCCGTCGAGTTGATAGATAGTATAGGCTGCAGTCAATCTGATACTCCAAATGGTTCAAGTCAAGCCACGAGGGACGATCTTTTTGACGAACCAAGTAACGAGATTCCATAATTGATAGAACTGAAAACTATAGCTTATTCCCATGAATATGATCTGACCAAGGGGGGCGATCTTTCCTTCTAGCCAAGTACTGATATTGGACTCCAAATAACCAAAACTCATGTACCTCATCTTCAAAATTTTCACATGATTGTACATAATGAGCATAAGAAGCACGTCAATCTACCCAACAAACAAGAAAGTACTGAATTTTGCCATCATTGATCAATAAAACACGTTCATCTAAAATAACATCAATTTTATCTTTGTGTGCTGTGATAGGTGGTATTAAAGTAGAAATAACAATATAGTCAAATTCGGAGTCCACAAAGTTAGGTAGAAATGGATCATCTAAGGAAGTAATATGGTATTTGTAAGTAATGAAGTCCTATATATTTAAAGCAGAGTGGTGGCTAAAATGTGATGAAAGGGCAATGACATGTGCATTTGAACTAACATGCTTTAAAATTTTTAAAGGACCAGCACTACAAGCTTGCAATATGACATAATCCCCAATATTGAATTCAAAATATCGTTTATGCGAATCAGCTTGAAGTTTATATAATGCATTGTTTGCGTCATGTTGTTTATTGATCTCAATATGCAAGTCATGAAGATGATATACAAATACTTCAGCTGACAACACACTAGCATGCGGGGACATGGGAATAAGATCTAACGGTCGCCTAGATTTATAACTATGAACAACTTCAAATGGATTTAAACCTAGAGACCGATTCATAGAATTGTTATATGCGATGTGAACAGTTGGGGGGATCGAGTCCCAATTTCTAAGATTTTTCTGGATTAGAGACTGTAATAAATTGCCAAGACTTTGGTTAACAATTTCGTTTTGACCATCAATTTGAGGTTGGTCAATAGTGGAGAATTTCGATTTAGTGCTAAGAACAGGCGACTGGATTCTCCAAGAGTGACTAGTAAAATTATCAAACTCTTTGAGTTGGGTAAGGGTATGACATATAACATATGATCGAGAGTTGTCAGAAACAAGCGGTATAGTTTCTAAAGTCTTGGGAAGGGTCAGGATTCCACTTAAGGAAGTGTCCTCACTATCATCCAAATCATCAAAATCTTCAGGTTTATACTCATAAACTAGATCTTCTAACGGCTCCTCTATTACATTCTTTCGTTCTTCCATGACTAAGGTTCGATTAGGACATTTAGAAGAAATGTGACCAAAGTCTTTACAGTTGACGCACAACAAGTGAGAAGAAGACTTTGGAGTTTCAGAAATTCTACCCCAATTTTCCAAGATTGGAGAACCATTAGAAGGAGGAGGTCCTAGAAGGGACTTAACGGGAGGAGGTGGAGCCAATGAAGCCAAATGATGATTATCAAAAATTTTACTCTTATTTTTCAAAATTGGAGGAACATCAGACGGGGGAGGTCCTAGAAGGGACTTAACAGGAGGAAGTGGAGCCAACGACACCGAAGGATGATTCTCAATATACTTTCTACATGGAGAAGAAGATCTTGGACTATCACGACCTTTATAATTATTTTTCCAAATAGGAGGAACATTAGATGAAGAAGGTTTTATGATAGACTTATGATGAGGCGACGCTAATGAGATGGGTGAACGACGATGACCATGCTTTTCATATGAAGTACTAATAATCAACTCATAATCTTGAGCTAAAGAGTAAGCGTGATCAAGAGTAGTGACACCTCGAAGGAAAAGTTCGCGTTTAAGATCATCTCTCAAACCTTGGCTAAACCTACTCAAAGTCGTGCTCTCATCCTCAATTAAATGACATTTGGTTCGAAATTTCTCAAATTGCGCGGTATACTCAGTCACTAATTGATTTCCTTGTTTAAGGACATTCCACTGAGTAAGAATTTCAAAATTATCTCGTTCTCGTTCACAAATCTGATCCCTATTCCTATCCCTATCCTTACGATCGAGTCGAAAGTATTTTTGATTACCTTGTCGACGATGTTGTCTATTATGGGATACCTTAGAATTATCAACATCAATCGAATGAGGGATGTGTTTAAAATTTTTCAAACTAACAAATAGGACCTTACTCTCTTCAAGAGTAGCGGTCATTTGAGTTTGAATAGCCGCTATTTGTCGGGTGAGTACATCGAATTGTGAGGGGTCCATGTCTAAGGTACTGGAGCTAGAAGTGACAAGATGACCAATATGTAACTACATGCACTGTAATAACAACTTAATGGCATGCAATAGAGAGATCAACAAACAAAAAGTGCAAGTAATGGAAAATGAAAATTTGAGCTAGCTCTTTTCTTTTTTTTAAAAAACTTTAAATTTTGGGATTAAAATCCAAAACAAACTAAAAGTGCTGGTACATATAAAATGGCAAAGCAAGGGTCAAACACACTAGTCAAATTCTCCAATAAATTTAAGTGGGGAATAATGGAAATCAATTCGGTCACTGGTGTCAATTCGATTAATGGTTTCGATCAAGTGGGGTTTAAGGCTAAAATTATCACGATAACAGCAGCACAAGATTTTAATTAATGCAATTTTAAAAATGAAGCAGTAGTATAAACGAAAGATAGATAAGAGTAGTGACTCCCTATAGTTCGGTTGTGACTCCCAGTATTCCGATTGGTTTGAATTACCACTGTGTGGGACCCCAGGTAAGTTTCTGTGCTAACTCTTGCCTCAGGTACCTTCAACTTCAGAAGTCCTCCTGCAGAATATGTGATGCCTGCTGTCTTGAACCTGTATCTGACTCTTATTAACAAATTTAACAAGAACCTGTATCTGACTTCTATGAATTCCTCGAACAGAGGCTTGAAATTGATTTGTGAATGATGGATGAATGGTGTGTGGCGTGAATTATGGTTGTGGTGGATGATGGCGAATCTCACGTTCGGATTTTGGGAAGCCGGGTAGCAATGGGGCTGAAAATTATGATAAGGCAGCAAAGTTTGAGGAGCTTAAATCTCACGTTCGGTGGTTGTCTTGGGTTTGGGGATAATGATAAGTGGTTGGCTGATTGAAGACCGGCCGATTAAGTGGTGATGTCCGACTGGAGTGTAAAAGTCGGCGGCGGTGATTGGGGCGGAGTGGTCACCAGCGGGGAGGCGAGTTTCAGAAAGTGGATTCGGGGTTTTGGTGGCTTATGGGCCGGATTGCTGCGAGATTAGGAAGTGGGGATGACGGGTTGTGGTGAGAGACGAGCCGCCGACGACGCCGGCGGTGCTAGGGAATGGTGTCGCCGACGTTGGTGAACGGCAGACGAAGCAGAAAATCGGAGGTGATGGGGGAAGGATTGGGCCGGGTCATGAGAGCTGATTTGAGAGGATTAAGGAGTTGGGCTGGAATAAAGTGATAAAAGAGTCGGGCCGAATTGATAGTTAGCTGATTTGAGAGGATTAAGGAGTTGGGCTAGAATAAAGTGATAAAAGAGTCGGGCCGAATTGATAGTTATTGGGCTTGGAAATTTGTTGTAATTGGGTTAGATAGGTTGGTTATATATTGAAAATACATGGGCTAGGGTTAATTTATGGAACAACTACAGATTTTTTTAGCAGCAGCAATAAACGTCTTTTTTTTTTTTTTTTTCAATTCTAAAATGCAGGAAAGAGTCTAATGGGATTTTCGAGCATGAACAGTAACTTTTTTTTTTTTATCGAACGACCACTAGAAAAATAGAATCTGCTGCTTGGACGCTAAAAATATTTTCATTTGTGTTGTTCCAACAATTTTTGGGAAGAAATAAGAAGAAAATTTAGATTGTAGGAAAGACATTATCCAAAGTTCGGCTCTGATACCAAATTTGATGTACGATGAATAAGAAAGAAAGAAAGAAGAAGGAACGGGGAGGAGAAACAGAGACAAGGGAGAAGAGGAAAAGAAACCAGAGGAAGAAAGGGGAGGGAGAAAACGGCTGCAAGCCACCAAAAAATATTTCAATTCTAAATCATCATCAACTGAAAATTATAATGTAAAACAGGTTTAAATAGTTAAGCAACCCTAACAAGCTTGGGCCCGAGCCCATACAAGTCCAAATTTTAAGTAATAGTCCAAAAGATAAATAAAGCATAAATAAAATAAGTAAACGATGTCCTCATCACTATCACTAGGATTATCCCAGAGATATAAAGTTGACTCCACAAACGAGTTGTACCTTAGCTTGGTGTCATACAACTTGCAAGGCTTGAGAAAGGGTTTGTTAGCTGACTTGAGCAATGGCCAAAATCAACCAAGCGAACTATCATTATTTAGGCCCAACATGTAATTCCAAGGCTGAATTGGGAGTTAGTCAACATATGAATCACTCATTGTCCACATAAGGCAGAAATTAACATTACAAATGTTTTTAAAATTTCAATTAGTGCAGTTATTTCCAATAGGGGAATGTCAGACACAGAAATTAACATTACAATTGTTTTTATAATGAGTAAAGATGAAAGGAATGAGACTCAAAATGAATATTCTATATTCTCTATTGAAATGTGTTACATCCATCCACATTTAGATATACTTAAAAAATTAGGCATACATGGGAAAACAGAATGTACACTCAGCATATCAAAAGAAGGATCCAGAATGCAAAGATTATCTACTCAATTTATTACAAATTAATCAATGGTTAACGTGTCTAAGCACCATTATCCTTAACATCTCCCGTGAGTGAATAGTGTTTGAGGAGATCACACAGAGCTTGATCATATACTTAGTGAGAATGTCTGCAAATTGATCAATTGCTGGAACATGATTCACCGAGATAGATTTATCAACAAGAAGTTCACGAAGAAAGAATGTACAAATCTAGTTCAATGTGCTTGGTGCTGGAATGCAACACAGGATTCGCACTGAGAAACACAAAATTGTTGCACCACAAGGTTGGAATACAAGTTGAGACAATATGAAGCTCACGGACGAGAGATTGGAGACCAAAATTTCAGCACCAGCACTAGAAAGGCTTCTGTAATCGGCTTCTGTGCTGGAACAAGAAACAATATGTTGTTTCTTAGAGCTCAAAACAATTGGAAGTTACCAGGGAAAATAAAGAAACAGAAGGTGAAGCGATGATAATCCAGATCACTCCTCAATCAGCATCAGAAAAGCAATGGAGACAAAGATTGGGAGACTATGTAGACCAAAATTGACTATCACCTTTATATACCTGAGGATATGTTTCACAGCCTTCCAGTCTCAAGCAAGAGGCTTTTGCATGAATTGAGAAATTCCATTAACTCTGAATTCAATATCCGGTATGGTGATGGTAAAATTATAAGGCCCCCACGATAATGCAATAGAAAATAGAAGTTTTACTAGTAAAAATAGGCGTTGGTAGAGCATTAGCACCAGACATCTTGGCCCTAACTAACAAATCATCATTGTACTTTTGCTGAGGAGGTAATACCCCAGCTTTGGTTGGGTAATTTACTTGTAGTCCAATAAAATAATTGTTAGGACCAAGATCTTTCAAGGAAAATTTCTAGTTAGATGAGAAATGAGGTACTAAACTTCAGAAGCGTTATTGTAAATAATTACTATGTCATCTACATGTAGATAGACATTGGAAGTTGGAGAAAACCATACAAAAAGTGACTGAAAAGCTTGGGAAGGCGTAGAACCAAGATGAAGTGGGGAGACCCTGAGCTTATCAAACCACGACCATGGAGCTTATTTCAACAGATATGATGCCTTGTGAAGTTTGCAAACAAGCTGTTGGGAATCTAGATGAATTTTAAACCCCTACAATGGTTTCATTAGTATAGTTTCTTGAAAACTCCAATTTAAAAATGCATTTTTTACATCCAGCTGACTAACTTTGAGCCAAAGCAATACTCAAGATAAGCCTGATAGTAGCCAGCTTGACGACTGGACAAAATGTTTCAGTAAAGTCAAAACAAGCAAGTTGATGGAATCCTTTAGCGACTAGACAAGCCTTAAGCCTGGAAATAGAGCCATCAAGATTCCTTTTAATCCTAAAAATCCACTTACAGACGGTAACTTTTCTACAGTTGGCTGAGGGACAAATATCCACATTTCATTCTGGATTAAAGGAATGTATCCTGTTGCTTCGCTGACTTCCAATGACATCTCCTTAAAGCCTCCTATAGAGTAGTAAGATTAGACACACTAAGATCAGAAACCATAGAAGCCCTCGGCTTAAATACCCCAACCTTAGATGTTGTCACAATATGGTGAACATTATTAGTGAGAATGATCAGGTTGCATATTACTCATTGGTTCAGAATCTGTAGACAGGAGACGGATTAGAGGTCAGAAGAGGAGACGTGATAGACTGTGTAGTGAGTTCCACCGGTAAAGTACCAACTAGCATATATTTATACATTCATGTGAGCAAAAGCCACACCACGCCCAAACCCCCTCACACGTCTTATCTTTCTCCCACTCTTACTTTTCCTTTTTACTCTTGCACACATTGTCACACTCACAGATAAGTATCTGTGCGGTCAAATAATGGGCAAAAGTTGAGCTATTTCAAGAAGTTTTAATGCATATTCTTAGTTCCAAGCAGATAAGTTTGTTTATAATTTTGTCTATAGTGATATTGATTCTGGAATAAATTTTATGAGTCCTATATGAAAAAGTTATGTTAAGAGGATCGAAGTTTAGTCACAGTATACAAAAGAAATGTCTACCACTTATATTCATTATTTCTTTGTCACTCCTTTATGTATCATATGATATTATTTCTTTTTCTTTCTGAAATTTAAATACGATTTACAATTTTAAGGTTCACACTTATTGAGTATTATCTCACCCCCTTCTATAACCTCTCAACGAATGTAGCGGCTCAAGGCAGTTGGAGTTTGGAAAGTGCCCAATGATGTGGAGATTTTAATTAGTAAATCCTTTTAAATAAGAATGTCCAGAAACTTGTTATTTCGTTTAAGTATTGTTTTAGCAAAATCACATTTGGATATGCAATAAGTACTATTTTTATTACTATTGAGGCTTTGTTGATTTTAAAGTTATTCCTAAGAGTTTATACTTATGTACGTTTTAGTGGCACCCGAACTTTCTAATATTCGGGGTGCCACAGCACCTTATTTATGTGTTTGGGAAAAATTATTTTATCCGTTCTTCATACATTTTGGCAGAAGCAATTTCATAAATGACTTCTACCAATAAAAAGAAACACATTTGACCAAACTCTTTCATACCCAAACACAAATACCATATACTTTGATGGCCTTGTGAACATCAATCATTTTTAGAACTTTCATCACCATCACTATCATACAGCACATGAAACATACAACATCTCTACCAACCATAAATTATTACTACCATAATTTTTTAAAATAACCTCTTCACCATCTCTAATATATATATCCTTTACCAAAATTCTAAAGTTCTAATCCTTTATCAATTTAATGAAGTTAAGATCTCTAGTTTTCCTTGAATTTGGCTGACTTATAAATATTTTACTTTCGTCCACGGTGTCTATAATATTTTTATGCAAACATTCCTCTTTCCTTTGTGCTTCCTTCCATCCTTCGTAATTTTTCACTTCCTTTCCTGAACATTTATACTTCTAGAATTCTTCTGCATTTGTAGTTTTCGCCATTCATTGTAATCCGATATACACAGCTGCGCTCGCTAACAGAGCATTTAAGTATGATAAAGGAGAAATATAAAAGAATCATCATTCCAAACCATTGAAAATATTGCAGAAGACCAACACTCCCTTACCATTCATATAACAAAGAGAGAGATGAAATTGCCCCCCGGGGCACATCCAAGTTGGCAAAGGAAGGACAGTGCGGGGCTCGCAACCCCAACGTGGGGAGTTCGATTCCTGATTGGAGCAGTTGAGTGTTGTAATAACCAGAGGAAGGGTTGGAGCAGCTTGGTGATGTAATAACCATGGAGGAGGCTCCCTTGGGACCAGGAGTATAAAGGCTGTTCGAACCCTAGTCAACTTGGGCACATCCCGCGATTTACCTCCCTGAGCTGTTGAGGGGCCGGAAGTTCAGGGACGAGGATATAGTCTGGCGTAAGCTGGGACACCTCGATAAAAAAAAAATAATAATAATAATAAAAAAAAAAAGAGATGAAATTTCTTGGGGACTAAAATACAATCAAAAAGAAAGGAACCACATATTAGACCTGATTGAAACCAAAAATCACTTTTTTAGACCTATTTCTATACTGACAACATAGGATATAATAGAAATCCCAATGTCAATCTTTACACTGCGGAATGAAAATTGTACGTTAAATGAAATAACACTAATTCGGACATAATTATTCAATTTCAAGTCAAATATTCATAGGCAAATACATAAACTGATAACAGGTGGCACAATACAGATAATCATAACACACAAGAGACCGATATTTACGGGGCCAGCGAACTCTTTATACGTATGGAATGATGGAGATAAATTAAAAAAGGAAAAGATACAGAGAGAATACAAGACCTTGCGGCGTTTCCAGGCAAGAAATTGAGCTTCCGAGATGGGATTGGGATTAGGGTTTGGATTGGGAACTGACCCTAGTTTTTGTTGATGATTTTCAGCTTCTGCGCCCATTATTTTCTCGTCGTTCAAAGTTCTCTGTTCTAGGTCTCGAGTTAAATTCCGTGGCTCACGTATTTACGGTGCCAAGAGTTCTAAATTCAGGTCATTTTAAGTTTAATAATAATTAAAGAGTTACTTATTAAAATAACTTTTAAATGAAAATAAATTAAGTAATTTCTATGCTAAAAGTTTGCTTATTTTAAAACATTACTTTGTCTCGATATGATTCTCATTCTCTAAAAACTCATTTTTGTCAAACTTATTTTTCAATTACACTTTGTCACAATAAAATATTTTTTGCATAAATTCAAATTTTTTTTATACTTTTAACAGCACAATCTCCAAAACTCACTATTATAAAATTTATTTTCAACAATAAATGGGGATTAAACACGTAGTTTATTACTTATAACTAAGCTTCTATTCGGCAAAACTATGTCCCTGTTTGATGTCCATTACTTGAAAATGAAAATAAGGGGAATAGTATTTTTTTTAAAAATGAGTAGTTGAAAAAGAAGGAAAAATTTTCAATTTACATGTAATATTATTTTATGAAAAATTGTGTGGTTAAAAATAAGATAGAGAAAAATGAAATGTAATAAAATTTAATTTAATGGGTAAGTTAATGAATTTCATGAAATACATATATAATTAAAAGTGTTAAGTTCAATGAAATATGTGATTAAAAAATAAATTTGATCAACTTATAATTCTAAAAAAAAAAAAGAACCTTTAGCAAATAGGAGTTAAGTATTTGTTTGAGCTTCATTTTTAGTTGTTAAAAATTAGTTTTTTGAAGTTAAACACTGTCTTTAATTAGATATTCAGTACGATTCAAAAGTACTATCCACATTTATCATCTATTTGCCTTTCCTTTTTAGTTGTCAAAATTATGAGTTGGTATAGTGGATAACTAAGGAGTACATTTGAGTCCAACAAATTTGGAATTAAATTAATATTTGATTTGGAAAAGTAACTTTTTAGCAACAAATGTGGAAACCCAAACAAAATCTAAGGGCTCATTTGAATTGCATATTTAGTTTTGCTTTTTGAGCCCATTTTCAGCTTTCTATTTTGACAATCTGTTTTAAAATTGTTAAAATCGCGTTTGGTTTGTTTTTTATTTTTAATTTCCTGTAATTTTTATCTTGAATTATATTTCTTTCCAGATTTTAATTTTTTTATTTTATTTATTTAGAATTTTCCTTCTTAGAGATTTATTTTTAAAATATTAAAATATTATTCTTTTTAAAAGTTCTTTTATTTTGTTTTCTAAAATTTTATTTAATTAAATTTTATTTAATGCATATTTCCTATGTTTTGAATGTTTTCAACTTTTAACTGAAAACTTTAAAACTCAAAATGTATTTTCAAAAATATCAGATCGAGTGAATTTCTGGTATTTTGTAAAATTGAAAACTAACAAACTAATCATCCATTAGGTTTGTATTTAAGTTTTGAGTTCATTTTGAGTTTTCTATCTTGAGTGTCTGTTTAAAATTGTTAAAAATTTGTTTGATTTGTCATTTACAAAAAATACTTTTTAAAATATAAACTAGAAAACAAATTTGGTTTGAAATTTTGAAAAGTTGTTTTATGGTATTTTATGCCATGAAATTTGACTATTAAGTAAAAATAGAATAATTGTATGTTAATATATTATCAAATAATATATACATTTTAAAGTTGGTAAATCTTACAATATTTTTTTTGGTCACAAATAAATAATAAATTGAGTTCAAAATACAAAAAATAAAATAAAGATTAATGAAGTGGATTGAAAATTTTTGTTTCAGTTTATTTAAATATTTTTTGAAATTTTTTTGTAAATTGTTGTTCAGTGCTTTAATTTTTTTTATTTTTTATTTTTAGAAAAATTTATAAATTTATTTTTGAAATTTTTATTTTTTTAAATTATTATGATTTTATTTCACTACTAAAAAACATCATTTCACCTACGGAAAATTACCAACGGATTGCATCCGTTGGTAATTAGAAACGGATTATCCGTTGATAAAGATGATATCTCTTTACCAATCAATATTTCGTGTTTAATGTAATCGTTTAACATTTAGATTTTTCTCCAATGGATATTCCGTAGGTGCTAATCCGTTGGTAATTAGAAACGGAGTATTCATTGGTAAAGATGATATCTCTTTACCAACAGATATTTCGTACTTAATATAATCGTTTAATATTTTGATCTTTTACCTGTGGATATTCCGTTGATAATTAGAAACGAATTATCCTTTAGTAAAAATGATATCTCTTTACCAACGGATATTCTGTGCCTAATATAACCGTTTAACATTTTGATCTTTCAGTAACAGATATTCCGTTGGTAATGAGAAACGGATTATCCTTTAGTAAAAATAATTTACTTATCACACATCAGAAGTTTACAACAATATCTTTGTAGTTGCCCTCTATAAATTTGTGGTCCAATAATGAATTAAACAATATTTTGGTCTTTCAATTGAGTTGGCTAAAAATAAAAAAATATTATAATTATTAAATAAATAAATAAATAATAATAATAAATAAACAAATAAATAACTTTTTTACCATAAGATTATTTACAACATTGATTTTTACCAATTGTAATTGTAGACATTTACCAACAGAAAGTCGGTTGGTATTGGTTAAAACTTTTACCAACGAAAATTCCGTTGGTAAAAGATTCACACTTTACCAATGAAAAATCCGTTGGTAAAATGTTTACTCTTTACATACGGCATGATCTGTTGGTAACTATCAGCGACCCTCAAATTACCAATGGATTTGTGGTTGCAAATATTCCGTTGGTGAAGATTATTAGCAACGGATATTGAGACTTTAGGAACGAAAAATTCGTGCCTGAAACTCTGTTTTTTTGTAGTGTTTTTTAAATTTTTTGCTTTTTATGCTTTAGAATTTATCATTTTTATTATTTGAATCTAATTTTTTAAAATTTAAAATTTTATTTGTTAGAATTTTATATTTTATTTTTTAAATTTTTTATTTTAAGAATTTTATTTAAACACTAGTTTTCCACGTTTTGAGTATTTTCAGAAATTTCACTAAAAACACATACAACGTCAAAAATGCGTTTTCAATTTTATATTACAACTTTATCCTTATTTTCGAAAATATATATTCAAAAATATCTAATCAAACATGAAAAACTAAAAATTGAAAACAGTAAATGAAACGCACTATAAACGTCTTAAATGGCATTTAAATGAAATAATTTATATGTCACTACCCAAATGTTTAAAAAAAGAAAAGAAAAAAAAATCTATTGTATCTTAGAAATATGTAATTGTTTGGTTAGAATAAGCTCCAAAGCAATGATATCGAGATTTGATCTTATTCTCAAGTGACTAACTTCAAAAAGAGTCAATATGACCCTTGTTTCTATTACAGTTGTTCAAGTGAAATTCAGCCTTGCCGTCTTCCATTAGTACGTGAGACATGCTATAAGAAAGCTTTTATTTAAGAAAAACTCAACTAATCAGAGATAGATTAAAATCTGAATTTGAAATAAAATATTTCGGATCAACTAGAAGGAAACTAGGGATGGGTAATAGAAGAAACCAGAAGGAGAATAAATTATTTTTATAGTGAGGATCTTTTATCACAAAATTGGATCAAAGATTTTCCAAGAGATGCAAATTCTATTACCTTGCCAATAGCTGATCACTCTAAACTTTCTACTAATCAGTCCTCTAAAACTAAAGATGTAGAAATTAGAATAGAAAGTGTTCCCCAATGGTAATGCCGTGTGCTCAATAACGTACACTGTTGTTCGTACAACTGTGCCAAACCAGATTCGGCCTATACAATAATTGTTTCGAATAGAATGAAGGGAATACTAGGAATAACACCGGACTGCTGTGAAATGACTAATTATATGCCCGGTAGGTGCTATATAGGTAAAAAGGAGGGATAACACTTACGTGTGTCGCAGATTTTAGTTGACCCTAAAAATTTGGAAGCACGGAGAAGTGAATAGAAAAAAATAGCAGCAACTATCCTCAAACGACGTTTTCCCTCTGTAAGATTGAATTTAGTGCTTAAATAGAATCAAGGCAAATGATTTATCGGATTGAATATGTATTGGAGAAGAAAAACACAAGCACTTCTTAGAACTCAAAGAACACTTTGAAGATTTGAATATGTACGTAAGAATTGAGAAAAACTCTTTCAAAATTAACATGAATTATGATTTCTTGTGTTTAGCAATGGAAACCTTTCCTATTTATAGATTTTCCAACTTTTAATGAAAATAAACCATAAAATCAAATTGTTAACTACTCACGCGTGAGCATGGTTCATAGGTTTTGGCCTCGGCTTTTGAAAAATCAGGCCATGCATCCACCCCTTGGGCCAATTATTCAATCCAATGCCCACATGCTGATTTTAATCGATTTCCAATTCCTTTTTGTCCAATTGTTCTACTATGATTTTGAAAAACTATTATAACAATCTACCAGTTGTTCAAAATTATAACTATCGACAGTTATGCATAAGGTTTAGATAATTTTGATTTGAACATTAACTATAGTGTAATTCTTGAATAGCAAAAGGTAAAAAAAAAAACTTTCAAATTGAAGAATATAACTTACAAGCAAGTTGGTCTCTTTCATTCACATTAACATAATATATCCCTATTTTAATTTTTTATGGATGTTAAATTGTGCGCAATACGTAAAAAAATCTTGCTTTGGAACTATTTTGGCCAAATTTATATCATCAATAATGCATGGAGCACGTGCATTGCACAGCTCATTCTTTTTCAACATCCATTAACCAGATCCTTGTTCATGCAGATGCAATACATCTCATAGCAAGATAAGCGCGTGAAGTTTCCAAAAGTACAATATATGATCATTCAAACTTGGCAAATTATTCTATCCTTAGCAGAGTTCAATTCTAACAAAATTTTATATTTCCCTTGATTACAAAATTATTACATCTTCCAATGGAGATAAATGCATTATTCGTGATTTTTCAAGGAATTTAAAAAAGTAATACGTTTAGAACTCGGTCCAACGAATTCGTCATTGGCATTGTCCAGTCATGAATCGGCTTGAAAAACTCA